AGAATACACAATAAAAAAAAATAAACTTAAAATTAAATAAAAAAATTTCCCCTCAAAAAAAAAAAAAAAAAAAAAAAAAAAAAAAAAAAAAAAAAAAAAAAAAAACCTCGAACATCATTATGGATCCTTTCACCGCAGTAGGCCTCCTCTTTAGTGTGGTAGACCTTATTGATCGTACAAGCAAATGCGTAAGAAAGGTCAAAGAAGCCTATGATTCAAAGACAGGACTACCAAGAGAACAGGATAGTCTACTTGGTTACAGCGAGGAAATGATCAATCTCCTTGACAAGATCCAGGAAGACTCTCAGAAATTGGAACAGTTAAGGGATTCTTCGAAGAATGATGATAACAGTATCCAGGTCGTTATCACCCGATGCCACGATATCTCGTCGAACATCATGTCCTTACTGAATCGAGATAGACCAGAGAGACCGCACTCTATAAAGAGCGCAATTAAAGCGACAGTGAGATCAATCTTCAATAAGAAGAGTTTCCGAGACCTCCAAGCCGACTTAGAGCGGGGCCAAAAGACACTTCATCTAGCTTTGGTATCATCTATGAAGTATGTGAAACCCCTGAAACTATAGGGCTAACAATTTAATTACTTCCGATATCCTCTTATTTACCTATGATCCGAGTTAATATCTGACACAGGACCCAAATTGACCATATTTTGGATATTCTCAAGAATACCACTGTGAAGAATGACGAAGTTGAACAGCAATTGGAAAGGGTTCAATCCAAGCTGGACTCAACAAATAACAGCCTATACGACCGGTTCCAAGAAATTCTCAGTCTCTGCTACCGTGCGCAGGATATACAGAAACTTGACGTGATCCTTAGCAAAATCAGAAAATGCCAGAATGGCACACAGCCAAATCCAAGATATGATGAAGTGCACGACAATTTCGCAAACACTTTCGAGTGGATTTTTCGTGAACCACAAAAGCTCTTTGAGGCAGAGCCAGACCTGAAGATGTCGTTTACTGACTGGCTCCGCGATGGAGAGGGCATTTTCCATATCCTCGGGAAACCTGGGGCTGGAAAATCAACGTTGATGAAATTCATATGGAAGCATGAGCTGACGAAGGATATGCTAATCAAATGGGCCGGCACTTCACAATTACTTTGCCTGAAATACTTTTTTTGGTCTACTTCCCATCAAGACGGATTATTGGGTCTCAAATGCTCCCTCTTGAGGTCTTCACTGGAGCAGGCCCCAGAGCTCATGGAACAACTGTTTCCTGATAGCAATGGATTAGACAAGAAAGCCACCACGTCTATAAACCACGAAGAAATATCTCGGGCAGTTAACTTGTTAATAAGCAATCCCTTTATCCTAGAACGATATAGGATATTTATACTTATGGATGGCCTTGACGAGTTTGACGAAAAGAAGCACGCCGAGGACTACCACGACTTGGTGCGTCTCATCCAAAACTGGACATTTCTATCAGGAATGAGGGTCAAAGTTTGTATCTCCAGTAGGGAATACGAGGCTTTCGTGGCAATCTCACGCCACCAGAGGATTCGACTGCATAATCTTACTAGGCAAGATATACAAGCGTATGTTACAGAACGCTTGGAAACACATTCAAGATTTTCAGAGCTACAAAAATCTTGTGCACGAAGACGAGGGAATCTCTGCGGTGATTCTTCTCATCGTCGATGTTCAACTCAATCCCTAGTGAACCATATTGTCGACATAGCCGAAGGTATCTTCCTCTGGGTCCGACTTGCGATGTTGGAAGTACGAAAGTTTCTAAATTCCGACTATGATATAGATAGAGTATGGAAATATATTGACACCCGCCCGAAACCATTGCTCGACTACCTGAAGCACATGCTCGACTCGATTTCCGATGTACATCAAAAAGAAGCATATATAATACTCGCCATAAACAATACGTATGCTTCTATGACACACCCAACTCAAGTTTCGATTCTAGGGGCATCTTACGTGTCGGAAAAGCTTAGTCGGGATGCCAAGGAACCACATTCCGAACAACTCAACTCAATCGACTCTGAACTACAGAGAAATGACTGGCATATTTTTAAGAGAGAACAGATTCATGCTCGCTTTAATGGCTTGCTTGAATTATCGAAAGACCACAGTCTAGGCTGGGGATTTGAACTCAGACACCCCTTGGTTCTCACTTTCACTCATCGTTCTATCATAGAAATCCTACAAAACGACATCGACACAAAACTGCTCAAGCATAGAATAACTAAACCCGAGCTAGTAAATTGGGCTTGCCAGCTTTTTCTTGGGGAGGTCATCCTCTCCCGCAACAAACTCGTTGACCTAAAGTATCCATATTATTGTATATGTAGGGCACGATTCCTCGCCGCCTTTTTCGAAAACCTAAACTTTACTGGGGAGCCTTCGATTGAGCGGCGGCTAGATCAAATTGAAGATACATGCTTGAAACTCCAGTTTGGTACCCCCTACCCGCCACCTACAGTGTTTTGGTCGTTCGATATACGCACCAGGTCATTCCCCGAGTGTCCTTATTATTGTTCTTTTTTGTTAACGGCATCATCTTTCGGGCTGACTGCGATATTACCCTGGATTTTGAGAAGGATGAATAATGTACCAAAGAGAAGTCATCTGGAAACTGATTTAGTGTGGTATTGCATGGCTGGACATTACAAATACAGATCAGGATCCGGCAATATCACGCTCATGGCAGAATTCCTTCGAAACGGATTTGTCGGGAGTGATTTGCGCGATACAGAAGCCAGAGTTCAGGTTTCGAAACACGGATGCCACACTACCATGCCATGGATTTACTGGGTAGCACACGTAATCCATAGAGAGGTACGGAGGAAAGATACATGGACGATGATGGAACTGTGGCTTGAAAATGGAGCCAATCCGAGGATTCAATTACACTGGTACGAACCACTTACTCTCTATAGTCAAAGAAATTATTTCTAATTATCCTAGCGTTATAGAAAGGTCATATGGAATTAAACTAGTAGAAGTTCATACGCACTGTGGGGTAGTTGTAAAGATTAATGGTCGGCATATCTCGCATTATACGGGGGAGCGGTTGCTACCAGAATCCGATAATCGTTTTGCACCACTCTACCTTTCACAGAAGCCTCTAACACTCAGAGACTTTGTTATCAGCTCTGATGCCTACAATAAACAGCGGTTACTGGAACTCATAGACCACAACACTGCCCTGCTTGAAGCGGATGAGGCAGCAGAGGAAACATATGCTACAACTATCCTCAAGAGAATTCCATGGTTGGGAAGACCGGATGTGTTTGGCAACGCTTATTTACCAAGTGTTGTCGTAACTACCTGGAATACCTATTTCCCCAAACTACGCAACATATTGTCCTGGATCTCGGACTATTTTATTAGTAGGTTTCCCACCATACTCTGTCAACATACGGTAGATCACATACTTACAAGACGTAGAAGCTCTGATGTTCGTAGCAATATTGCTATTAATGTTCTATCTCGTCACCGTATGGAGCGCTAGCCGCCATTCGAGTCATCCGGAGGTAGGAATGATAGATCGTGGCATTGTACATGATATGCTATAGGAAACAGCCACAAGGGGGGGCTCTACCTGTAAGCTTTGGGTACCTAGATAGGTATATTGTATTTGTATGGTAGGTCAAGCTAGGCGCATAGGAGTTTAAAATACGCAGCTGAAAAGATGACCGCATTCAAGGGAATAACAACTGTGATATAAATGGAGAAGGAATATGAAATGTGTCTTTTCCTAATAGTCAATTGCTAGGTGTTCCTATTTAATATTCTTTGGCCGATTAATATATTTTATTACTCCTTACTAGTTACCTGGTAGGAGGTAGTAGCTATTGGTCAAATTAATCATATCGTAATAGTTATAGGAGCTATACAGCACTGACTCCAACCTGTCTAACGAAACGTCAAGTAACTATATGCCTACCTGGTATTTAAACAATATTTGTACGCTTATAGCAACAAGGGAGAAGCCTAAACTAAAATTAACTTATATATTAGACCATCTGAAATGGGCAATTATGCCACCCTTAAAAGGACGGACGAGTATGCTATAAAGCTTGTACCTAGGCATGTACACGATACTATTACAGGAAAGCGACAAAGGGATACCGCACCCGTTCATTAATCATGGCAAACTCATAAACCTAGGTACCTAGACAGCCAATCGTTCAATAGGACATAGATGCAAAACCGGAAAATGCCACATAGTATTTAATCCATTGCTGGATATCTGCCAGTCTCATGCCTTGCCTCGCCTCGAGCGGCTAGTTTATTATACATTGGCAATATGCGTTGGTTCTTTTCCTCCTCAGCCGCCATATCCCCCCTCCCTTATTCCCCTAACCCCCTAACCCCCTAACCCCTAACTCCTTTTTCCTTTTTCCTTTTCGTCCGCTTCAAAGTGTCTTTTTTTTTCCACCTCCTACCTTAGGTATCCATCCATCCACCCCACCCCTAGTAGTGCAAATGCAAAGGCAAAACGCAAAACGAAAACGCCGGCGGTAAAGCAGTAGAGAGCGAATAAGGGGTCGTCGTGAATCATGGTTTCGCGAGAAACTTCGGTGCAGGCGGTGCCGCCTGTCGTTGGTCTAGGTCGTCGTGTCGTCATGCTATGTATGTATGCGTGCGTGCGTGCGTGCGTGCGTGAGAAAATGAAAGGAAAGGAAAGGAAAGGAAGGGGAGGGAAGGGAAGCTGTAATCCTTCCTTTTGCTGGGGTGGAGATGGGAAGAATATGGGATGGGATCGAGAGGAAATGAACGCCTGTATGGATGAGGACCGTACATAAGTACTCGAACATAGGGGTACATGTGATAAAAGGGGGAGGTGATATGTATAGGGACAGGGGTAAGCAAGTAGAAGATCAGGGGGTGAGTGTTGATGCAGACAACAAACACCACCCCAAAATCTTCCCACAATTTTTTCGAATCACCACGGCATTCTCATCCAAACCGTGCTCCGTCGTCGAGCCAACATACTTCAAATCAGACGCGCTCCGCTAGAGCCTCCGACCGACGCCTTGGCCTCCTCTCCGCCCTTGCCATTAGCACTCTCCTCCAGCGCCTCGAGAGAAGAGTACGGGTTCGCATTCGGAGCACTGCCATGATTGCCCCCGGCTCCTCCCGTCGTCTTCGACGCAGTACCAGTATCAAGATGATCGGCTGTAAATGCCGCTGGGGTCGTAGACGAGGTCCGAGCCGGGGGTGCGATGGGGCCGAAGGGGGACGAGTAAGACACTGTTTATAAAAGGCAAGATGTTAGTTAAACCGGCTTTTAACTTGGTTCAAGTAGACTTAGACTTGCTGAGTGCGACGTACCAAAAGGGTTTTTAATACCTCCTCCTCCTCCTCCTCCTCCTCCTCCTCTCATATCCCTCGCCATACCACGACCCGTTCCCAACGCCTTCTGCTCCGTAGGAATGCCATCAGCGCTGCGGCGCCAACTCGGGAGACCCGGTGCCATCCCCGCAACATCAGCACTGGCAGTAGCAGAATGTCCACCACTATTATTGCATCCGCCAGCGCGGCCTGCAAATCTCTCACTACCGCTGCTCAGCCTAACCGAGTCCTCGGGGCCGTCTCTCTGCCGCGACAGGTCGGCCTGGTGCTTCTTCCACCAGGCGGGGAAGCCGTGGAACAGGCCGAGCTGGTGCTGGGTCACCTTGTCGAAGGGCATCTCGTGCTTGTACTTGCAGCCCTGCTGGGTGAATGCGCACACGCCCTCGTGCACCCACTTGTCGCAGTAGATCTTGGGACGTCGCTGCGGCTGCTGCGGATGGTTGTGGCCGCTGTTGTGGCTGGTGTGCTGGTGAGGATGTTGGGCGTGCTGAGAGAGAGAAAGACCCGTAGCGCCGGCTGCGGATCCGGGACCTAGACCTGCGACTCCCGTTGCCATGGATAGGCTTGTTGGCGTTGGGGGCGTCGAAGCTACGATGGTGTCGATTCGTGACTGCGGTGGCAAAGACTGTTAGTGCTGAGGTCAGGTCTTGCGTATGAGTATGAATGTCTGGGCAGTGGATAGGTAGGTATTGTCAGACAATGTGAAAGGGAAGGGTAGGATCATCGGGACTCTTATCATATCCGATGTCTTAGACACGGGATCCCGTTTGCACTGGCCTAATATCGAGCTCTAACCAGGTTATATGATTATTGGCGGGGTAGTGATATCTGTTGAAGGAGTTGGAGTTGGAGTTGGAGTTGGAGTTGGGTGGACTGGGAGAGAGTATAGATACCATATTGGCGCTGCTCCGAAGCAGGGAGTTCAAGCAAACACTCGGGCTTACCTGGATGTTATCCGAAGTCGAGGACGGGGAATTCGTTGGACTCTATAGATACCTAGTTAGTACGTCTTTTACACGGAATAGAGGGTATAATTTAAGAAGTGTAATATCAAGTTCGATAGCTTACTCTGAGGATAACCGGGTTAGTGTTGCTAGATCGACCATTTGAAGGCAGACCTCGTGGTAGCGGCAACACCAGCATTCCGGAGCAGTTCTGCTGTAGGGGTGGAATATCCTTCAAAGCGGGCAACATATCAGCAGGGATCAGACGCGTATACTGGCCGTTGCCTCGATCATAGCAGTAAGCGTAGCTGGAATCCAGCTGGAAGTCGTTGAGGTTGCTAGAAACCGAGTAAGGCATCATGCTAGAGAGTAGTTGTTGCTGCTGCTGCTGCTGAAACTGATCTGAACGAGGGCTTGCATATGACGAGTGTCGACCACCAGAACCCTGTTGTGTATGATGGCCAACAGTAAGGTCGAACGGGGGGAATTCGCCAGTACGAGCTGATAGTGCTGCCTCATCAGCTGTCTGCGATCTCCAGTTAGACGAAGCAAGATTTCTAACCCCCATACTCAGAGACTGCATGCTAGGTCTTAGTGTCTGAGGCTGAAAGTGTTGCTGTTGGTGCTGTTGGGGCTGTTGGGGCTGTTGGATTTGGGTTGTATTGCTGCGGTCCGTAACCAGCTTGTTTCTACGTTCGTTGACGGACTGGAAAGGGTTTCGATCCATCTTAAGCTGAGAGTCAAGTAGAGAGTTGGGGGTGTGCTCTATATTGGTGTTCAAACCAAGATCTAAGAGCTGCGACGCGAGTTCAGAAGAAGTCGTAGCATCAGTAGAATCGGGAGATGTATTTCGAGTGGAAGTGCGAGAAGCGCCTGAAGAGTAAGACAAGTCGGAGGGGGAGTTGGCTATTGGGCCGGAGGCGGTGGGGAGAGGAGAGGACGTTTCCATGTTGAGAACGAAAAGATGAATATCAAAGAAATCAGAGCAAACGGGAGAGAAAATGGGTACGCGCTCTGGGTATTTATACAGTCTTGTAAGACTGGATCAACAACACCAGGCACGTCTTGACAAAAACACGACCCTAGACGGCTTAAGATCTTTAGATCTTTAGATAGGATGGTGTTAGTGTTTCTCAATGAAATATTTAAAAAGAAAAAAAAAAAAAAAGAGAGAACGAAGGCTGGTTTTGATAAGAAGCATGGAGGTCTTTAAAAGAATGCATGGAAACCTAGAAAGCCTAGGAATACTTATTTTCCGTCACGGCAAGCTGGAGCAAGCTGACACATGCACACGCACACAAGCACACACACACATTCATAAGAAGACCCTTACGCACACAACTCTGCTACCTGCTACCTGCTACCTGCTACGCGCATATCTCTTATTATCACTGGCGTTTGCTGAGAAACCTCAAATAAGGTTGAATGCATCTACGGTTACCTGCAGTTCTTGTCTTGTGTTTCCCACGTGACAAACGGCCTGTATAGCTGTTGGACAACCCGAAATCAACTCCAAAATGTCTTGATCACAAACCAATCACCAATCGTGGCCATTTATTTCCTTTCTGCTTCATTTGTAGTATAAATGGGCTATATGTATCTGACTACCTAGGCAATACACCATAGCGTAGTTAACACGAACCTGATTTCTCTTATCTACAAACAAGCATGTAGCAGAAATTATGCCTATCGAGGCTACTAGCTATAAGCCAATCCATGAATCATGCCTCTTCGCCCGGACTTACACCACAAGTCCAAAGTTATTGCCCTTCAAGACCCTGATAGTCGTCGTAACTGGTTGGTGAGGTATGTCTTGTATGCTTGAACCAGGGGCGTATCTCCACTAGTCCTTAGAGTATCGATGGCGAGCCGCAGCGAGATCTCGGAGTTGAAATCTATACAACTGTTGCTAATGTGGTGCTTATTCTTACAAACGATGCAAGTGCCACTGTTATCCGTAGGACAGGCCAGTGGGGCACTGAAAGAACGATTGAGGAATTCTTCGCGAGGTGCTTTCTTAACGGCCTGATTTGACTTTAATACCTTGGAGGCTGATATAGCAGGAGCAATAGTCGAAGATAAATGAGAATTGCCAGCAAGGGAAGGTTGCTCGCGGTGAGGGATCGAAACTACGAAGTTAGGATTCGGATTTTGAAGGAAGGGAGGCTGTGGCTGGAGGGGATTCTGCGGAGGTAGCACTCGAGTCTGTGGCATTGGCCGACTGATTTTGGCTGGTGGCTTCTGTGCCCGACTTTGACTGGGTTTCGTTGGTGCCGGCTGATATACCGGCTGATATACTGGCTGATATACTGGCTGGGACATTGGCTGGGACACTGGCTGAGATACTGGCCGAGTTACTGGTTGAATCACTGGCTGGGACACTGGCCGAGTTACTGGTTGAGCTACTGGTTGAGTTACTCCCCGAGTCTGGCTGATGCTCTGACGAGCTTTTCGTGGCGGCTCGAGGGCTTCGGTCGCTACTTGCTTTGCCATTTCTAGACCCTGGCTGCGCTCTGTTACTGTTGGGAGTGTTAACTATCTTGCCTTTTTTGGCTCGTGACTTTTGTAGTGTTGATGGAGTTGAGTGTTTACCTTTGACCCCTTTGTTTTTTGCTAGAACCGCTGATTCTTCTTCCTCTTCCCTGTATACTTCATCGTCATCGTCTTCTACGCCGTTGTCGATGTAAAGTTCGTCTTCTCCATCAATGTCGGAGCCGCCACTGTCTGGTTCTGGGCGCTGTTCTTCTGTTAGGGACTTGTCATCAAAATCATCTACGCCTTCAATGTAACATACTCGAGTGCCGTTGTAGTCCACACCCTAAATACTGTTAGTCCCGAATAGATAAAATCATATACAAATGGTATCTTACTTGAGTACCACGTCGCCTAGCACCACGGCCATACACCTCCTGTTTTGCAGCAAGTTCGCGCTTATGCTCTTCCTCGCGTGCCTTGAGAATATTTTCCCAGACGCTCGCATCCGTCGTCGGCGGGTTGTTATCGGGTTGGTCTATGTTATCCGCGAGTGTGCCCGAGTCATTAGCCCAGACACGCGCGATCGAAAACTGGTTGTCAGCTGTCTGGTTATCCGTACTTGTGCTCTCAAGTCGGCTCCTGTCCAGCAACTTATCAATGGCTGCCGAGTCATACGTAATCTTCACCTTGTCCCTGTCACTAAATAGAGCCTCTGCACCGCGTTTCAAGATTGATTCTAGGTCACCGCTATTGTCGTTATCAGCATCTAAGCTCTCGATGAGAGCATGGTCGAGGGCCATCTTCTTCCTTCCTGTCTGCATGATGTTCTCTTCGACAGTGTCTTTGGTCGTAAGTTGGAAGCAAAGAACTTTTTCTTTCTGGCCAATTCTGTGGGCCCGGGATATGGCCTGTATATCCTGATGCGGGTTCCAATCTGGGTCATATATGATAACTGTGTCTGCCGTGGCGAGATTTATACCAACGCCACCGGCACGAGTCGACAACAGCATCGCAAATAGTGGCGAGTTAGGAGCGTTGAAGGCGTCGATCTGTCTCTGCTTCTTGAGAGCGCTTAGCTTCCCATCAATTCGCCCAAATGGAAGACCCAGTATATTGAGAAAGTCTTCAATGATATCTAGGCAACGTAGGAATTGGCTGAATATTAGTACGCGGTGGCCCCCTGCCTTGAGCTTCGGGAGCATCATCTCTAGCAGCATGAACTTTGGCGAAGCCTCAATTAGATTCCGTTGCATTTGCTCTTCGCTAACATTCTTGTCTTCAACGTTGGCATTGAAGCAGAATGGGTGACATAGACATTGTCGGAGATCCGCCATGATGTTGCTCAAGTTCTTGCGATCGCCTGCTTTCATCTTTCCTTTAGAGATGATTGCTTTGATTAGCTCTGGGTTTCGAGCTATGATAGACTTAGATAACTTTTCCTGCAGCACCGTCATGGTAACGGGAACAATAACCTGTGCCATTGGCGGCAGGAACTTGAGGACCTGAACTTTAGTACGTCGTAGGAAATAGGGACGAATGAGGTCGTGGAGCTCTGGTAGATTTTCCTTTGTTAGCTCGTCATACTGAGCGTCAAGCGCCTCGGCGTTGTTCTTTGGGTCAATAAACTGAAGAAGGGTGAACAATTCCTTCTTGTTATTTTGCAACGGGGTACCTATTAAGCGTTAGTATATTCGAGCATATAAATGACTACCTGCCATCACTCACCTGTCAATAAGATCCGGCACGGGATATTCATGTCAACTAACGTCCTGTAAAGCTGCGTTTCGTCATTCTTGAGCCTTTGGCCCTCATCAACGATCAAGCCAGCCCACTTAACACTTTGAAAAGTAGTCTTCACCGAACTAGCTGCCTCGTAGGACATAATCACGACATGTGCCTTCATTCCATCTCTAACCCCATCAGGGAAGAGTTCGTGCTTAAAAGCTAGATCCTGAGAGATTCTGCCGCCGTGATATGTTACTACTCGGAGCGCGGGGGACCAATCCTTGAGCTCGCGACGCCAATTGGGGCAAGTTGCATTCGGTACGACGATAAGAAATGGCCAACACTTGGGCTGATCCTGGACAAGAGTGCTAATAAAAGAGACGATTTGGATCGTCTTGCCAAGCCCCATCTCATCAGCGAGGATGACGTTCTGCTGCTGGTGGAAATTATAAAGAAGCCAATTGACGCCCTCTATTTGATATGGCATTAGCGTGCGGCCTTCTTTGAGGCCCGGAGGTTGGCTTTTTAGCTCGCAAGATTCTTGGAAGTCAAGAGATCGATAATTACTGATACGTTCGCGCATTCTCTGATCTCTAGCAGATGGGAAGTATTTGCCGTTGAGAAATTCATCGTATGCAGTTGCGAACGCAGCCCATAAGGTTGTCGAATCACGAGGAGGCGGCTCATCCCAAACTGCTTCTTCATAACTGAGACCCTGAAACTTCACATATACCGACTGGATTTCAGAAATGCGATTTAAATCTTGAGCCTTGGAAGAAGCAGTAGAACCGCGCTTATATCTCACATTGAGGAGGACATCGGCCAAAACCCATTCCTCTTCAATTGCAGACTCAATGGTCATCTTTGGTAGGTCGTTCTCTTCGCGCTTATGAAATGCGGTTCGCATAGTAGGCGCAGCTATGCCATAAACCCAAGCTCCAGGCATCCAAGTATCGTGAAGGTGAGATCTCCCCTCCCATTTCACTAAATACTCTATCTCATCCTCGCTAAACTCATCGGCTCGCTGGTCCTCGATGTAGGCATCCTGGTCAACAGGCCGCCACGCCACTAACGCGTGGATCCCCTGGCTCGTGTCTAAACAGTCTTTGCACTTCCATCCGGCCAAGGAGTACTCGTCGAGACGATTCTCGTCAGGGTTTGTGGTTAGTTGAGGCAGGTGCTGGAAATGATAGGCGCGTCTGCAAGTTGAGCATCGGAATAGTACATTATCAGGATTGTTGACTAGGTTAGGCTGGACAAGTGTGACTGGGTCTTCTCCCCCATTCTCGAGTCTAGCTTTCTCCTCTTGTTTTGGAGTTCTCTTCGGTGAGAATTCCGCACATGAGACACCGGGAACTTTGCAATGCTGACATACTGAGTAGCTTGGAGCACGTATATCCTTCTTTTTGTGTAGTCCAATGCAGAAGCGGCATTGCAACACAAAGTCATTTGGACCGACTTTAGTAACTCTGTGGTCACGTTGAGATCTCGGACCGATGCACTGCTTGTGAAATGCATAGGAACATCCCTGGCATGGAATAAGGGAACCCTTTGCATGACTTGACACAGATCCACAAGCATCACATACTCCAGAATGTGCTTGTCGAAACTCTGACTGCTCAACCCGCTCTTCGAAAACCTCCTTGATTGCGGCGATCTTAGGTGCAGCGAGGTTATCGTCGACTGCATCGTATTCATCATCAATCTCGGGATCGCGCATGCTCCTTGAAGCCTTAGTTGACCTCTTCGACCTTCGGGATGTCTCGAATTCGATCTCCGAATCGCTGTCGATGTATTTGCTAGACGTGTACATGTGCTTCAGTTTCCTCTTTTTACGAGATGATGCTCTCACGGCGCCACCAATATCGGAACGGATAAATGGAATGGCATCATCGTAGTCATCGTCCTGGTCAGATTTGTGACCCCGAGCCAACTCATCCTCGGAGTCATCTAGTTTATGCTTGCTTTGCCACGCAGGATTCTTTGAGCGAGTGACTCTTATTGAAGAGAGTTGAACCGAGCTGCGAGATTTTGAAGGTTTTCTATCCTCGAACTCCTCGTCAGAGAGCACGTCATCAGGTTCCTCATCAAAGGCATTGTTTTCGAGGTCATTTTCCATAGAGGCTCGCGCGGAGGCCTGCTTAGAGGCTTGTCGCGTACTTCTGCGAGTAGGCCGAGAGGATGTCCTCTTCCGTTTCCTGGGATTGTCAGAACCATAAGATTCAGAGTCGTAATAATCATCCTCGGGGGGAGGGCGCTTGCCCGGTTGTCTATCCATGGCTAGTTGGCTAGTATTGAATCTTTGACTTTGAAATCGCTGCGCAGCGCGAGGGCCGTTCTTAAGCTGCAGCATATCATCATATGCTACCTATTTAAAGAAATTAGCATGATAAAGAGCAGATATTTCGAAAAATAATAAAACAAAGTTAAGGTGTAGTCCTCGCGTGTATTAATAAAGAAAGAGTGATCCGATGTGAATAACCATTTCTTGCAAAACAGGGTGGGAATAAAAGGTATGTTTCAGACGAGGCAGGAATGACTTTGAATGTAATTCCTCACGTGTGACCACCTCAGGAAACCTACCATCTTGTACTAGCAGCTCTAGTAACCATAAGGTAGGCCTGTACACATTAGATCGGACCCATAGAAGGAGCCTATCAAGAATATGGATGAAAAGAGTAGGGCGTGGGAGAATGGTATATGTTGGATGGGAGTGTCCTAAAGTATCAATGGCAACAAGAATAGTTGTTGTTGTTGTCGTCGTTGTTGTTGAGAGAAGTAGAATGAGAGATGTAAAAAGGAAGAGTGAGAGTTTTATTGGGGGTGAAGAATGAACCTAAGACGTGAACTACTGTGAGGAAGTAGCACGCGCAGGAAAGCTGAACTATGCATGCGTAATGATAGCAGCGTGAGTAATTCGCAGGTTGTTAGGGCAATCACATCTCGAAGGAAGTAGCCCGTGTGAAGGTTGGAGCAGGTGGTATCCATGGAGGTGGCCCAGAGTAGTAGCATAGGAGGTAGGTTAAAGAAACAAAGGGGATACGGCAAGTAGAAGATATCCTAAGAAGAGTGAGACCACTTACATCTTCTATATACCCATCCTTGAATTCAACACTGTAGAATATTTCGCCGTCCTCATCCTCCATCTCATCTAGAATCCTCTCCACAGTCTGACTCGGATATATCCGTTCGTATATTGTTGGATCCGGTGGTGGATGAAGGACTACTATAATAGGGTGTAGTCGAGATATCGCTGGGGGTATATCCTCCTCTTGTTCTTGCCTATCCCCGGCATTTGGATTAGATGCTTCTTTCGTATATGAGTCGTCCAAGTCGCATTCGTCTTGTACATCGTAGTCTAAGTCTTGATGAGACAGCTCGCGCACTTCGTCCATGACAACGTCATCCTGAAGGGCCGCAGGGGCCGTCGAGTCTTCTAGGTCGCTTTCCATCTTGAAGCACGCTCATAGATTCCTACAGATATAGATACAAAGTAGGAAGATGCATGCCGTCGAGTCGAGATGCTTTAAGCAACAAAAAGTCAGAGGGGTACCAGTCTAGTATTAGGTTGGCAGTTGACAGTTGCCAGCTGCGATGCGCGAATTTTAGAAATCAAACGAGTTTCTAGGGCAGCACAGGGTTATGCAAATCCATAATCACATTCCCCCCAAGATCACGGCAGAAACGATGTTGAGAAACGATAAATAGAGCTATCGCAGATAATTCAGGCGCATGCTGACGTTGCCGGTAATTGAAAACGCGCTGTAGAATTAATTACTAGGTACATACTTCACGCGTTACGTTAATCGAGGCACTTAACCTTAACATGGTTTAGCGTTGTTGCACTGCAGCCGCAAATACAAGGGTGTTTTTTTCTGGGACCACTAGTACCTAGCTGTCGGCGATAAGATAAGTATTAGTGCCTGGAAGATAACCCATGGTATACTTAGGTACATCAAAATTTTATTGAGCTGCAAACTCCTTCACATGCTCATGTGCTCATAATTATTGGTACTATATTCAGTAAAGTACCACTGAGAGAGAATTTGCTAGGGAAATCCGATGATTTCCTTCCAGGCTTCGTGTATACGAAGTAAACATAATATTCTTCTTAGAACCTGGGCCTTTCCTAAGCCTGTCAATGTCTACTCTCGCTCTTCTTCTCTGTCGGCCATCCACCGCGGGTTGCGCAATTCAGAGAAGGCTAGGCCACAAGGTTTTAACAGAGATTCTTTGAATACGGCCAGGTCAGGCAGGACAGAACGGTATGGAAGGGACAGTCGTCAAGAGGAATCATCCTTCAAAGTTAAGAAAGGCAAAAAGGACATTACATACAAGGGTCCGGAACCAAAGTCGAGAGCAGCACGTTTCTATGATCCAAAGGAATCATTCGGGAAGAAAAGTTTAGTATATCAACTAAACAACAAGGAAAATTATACCCGTAATGACAGGGATGGTGGACTATCAAAGACTCAGTTTATGAAGGATTTCAATTCGGGTCCTCGGAGTCGTACACCATACAAGTCAGAAAACCCACATTCATCATCTCGATTCGGTTCGGAACGGGGACCTAGGAAAGAACCAAATGAGCGAGGAGCTTATAGTTCTACCCGAACCGAATCATTTGGGGGAAGATCAAAGTTCCCACCCTATTCCGAAAAGCTTCGCAAAACACCGATGCCATGGGAACAAAGGGGTTCAGCTAAAACCAGGAAGCCTATTCAATCAACTCGGGACCGGGGGAATACTCCGGGATTTCAACGGTGGGACCGCGATTCTCAACCTCCAACAGAACGGCGAGGAGCCAATGAGGATGAGCACACATCGTTCCGCCCCAGCCTGTCCAAGGATCATGGACCCGTTCGCATTCCACGTACCACTGCGGCATCACAGTTCTTGTATGGCTACTCGGTAGTTGAAGCTGCTCTGAAGGAAACGCGGCGGCAAGTTTACAAACTCTATATATACTATGGGGATAGCGCACAGCTTGCTTCTCGAATTGATGGCTTGGAGAGAAAGGCAAGCCAAGCTGGCATTCCTATCGAGAAAGTAGAAGGCACTGCTGGCCTACGCATGATGGATAAAATGAGTGAGGGTCGACCTCACAATGGTTTTATCCTCGAAGCTTCCCCATTGCCACAGTTACCAGTCAGGAGCCTTGGTCCGCTAACCGAAGAGCCGGCCACCGGCTTTACTCTCGAACTAGGTCACCAGACCGCCGAAGAAGCGCAAGTCAATGGTACCTCCAACTTTGTCAAATACGTCCTTCCACCCAACCGTAAACCGTTTGTTCTATTATTAGACGGCATCCAGGATCCGGGGAACTTGGGCGCTATCCTACGATCGGCAGCATTTCTAGGAGTCAACGCTGTTGGGATTACAAAAGGTCACACGGCTACTCTGACATCCGTAGCTGTGAAAGCATCCGTTGGCGCATCCGAGATCACACAACTATTTTCAATCAGTTCCACGCTCGATTTTCTCACCAAGTCTAAGGAGGCTGGCTGGGTTATTTATGCCGCCGTAGCGCCGACCAATCGACCTAGGGAAAGTAAGAACATCACGTTGGACAGACTAGATACCTACGACCCGTTGTCGTCCGAACCTACAATCCTGATCGTCGGAAGCGAAGGAGAGGGACTCGATAAAAAGACGAGACGGATAGCAGACTTCGAAATCTCAATACCGAACCATTCTGGATCTACCATGGTAGAGAGCCTGAACGTCAGCGTCGCAACGGCCATTCTTTGCTCCGCTTTCTTGAAGAACCAGTATTCTGGAGGAGAATTCGATAAGGTTATCGAGGTCAAGGATAATGAATCTGACCAACTGTGGTGAGGCCTAGGCCTACGATTCTAACATTATTCAGGATATGATGCCTAATGTTTATGAGACATTTGTATGACTATAGGGATGGGATGTCTTGGCGAGACAATCCCGATTTTATGGACTGGGTTCTTAGGCATATGCATGAGGAATGAGGCAACGGGATAACTTCAACCCTGGGTATATTTAGAACACGCCTCATACATTAGGTTAGGTACAGAGAGAATTCTCTGCAGTGAGTTCAATTAGATACGGGAGCGGCTGTAGGTGCAACTACTCCGCTCGAAATAAAAGATTCCAATGAATCAACCTTGAACGATTAAATGGTATCAAGTCTTTTTATTGTTCCAAAGCTGTCTCTTTTGCAGGTCATGCAGGTGCATAATGTGCATGAGTTTACATTTTAGCCCTTAATAAAAACGGTCAATCGTATGCATGGACCTGGAGTTCTAGAACGTCTCCTACCATGTACTTGGAAGTGTGATCAGATTTATTAGAACCAGAGAGTTTTTTTAAGCGGATAATAAATAAGATGTGATTTTACTATTAAAATATTCGAGCATTATAAAAACATATGCAGATCTTCAAGTTTTCATAATAGGAAATCGTGAATTCGGCATCGATGCGTTGTCAAAGACGGAACTTGGATAGACCCATGTCGATCCCTCGCAAGCTGAGGTCCCAGCTGGGCCAACTGGGCCAACGACCCCTGTTGAGTTTGTTGTTGTTGGTTACTGGGTCCGAGGAAATAATAATCCTTTTCAAGTCCCATCCGAAAATAATCCCCTTTCTTATTAAACAGCCTTACCGACGGAATAATACTTGTCGAGTAGCACAAGACTAGCATCTAAAGCGGTTCATTTAATCCAATTATCTCGGCTGTCAAGTGTCAAGTCAAACTGACAACAAGGCACGGCTACTGTTGCCTACTGTTGCCGTCGCACGACTTCGAAAAACGTGTAACTCCGTCCGCGAATTATCGTCGGCCCAGATGTCTACGAACAGCTGACGTTACGTACTTGGCTAGAGGACCTAGGTATTAGCAGAAGAATAATTCCTTACGGAATACAACCACCAATATTCAAGACGGTGAAGCCTCATACGCACCCAACCCGACAATGCACCTCTCCAACACAATGCTCAGCCGCCTCCCGCCCTCGCTCCTCGTCCTCCTTACCGTCGCAACCCGGCTCCGCGCGCAGCAACAGCAGCATCCCACAGCAATCCGGAAGATGTCGCTAGACGAGGGCGAGATGTTCTTACCAGAGTACTACGCCTTCGCGCCAGCACAACTACAGCCCCGGGACGAAGAAGAAGAAGAGCTCCTACTTGCCGGAAACAGCTCCGCCACCGCCACGGCCCCGTTCCGTCCGCCGTACCCGCTGCACTACGACTACCACAGAGCCGGGATACGAGGAAAAGAAGAAGACTCGGGACCGTCCCTGTATAACCGTGCGCGCGACGTCCTAGCCAAGCTGCAAGGCCGCCAGTTCGCGTGTCCCGAGAACACGCAAAGCTGCGAGAACATCGACCAGCCGAATTACTGCTGCAGCCAGGGGACCCAATGCTTCGTCGTGACGAACGCCCCCGACGCCGGGAACGTAGGATGCTGCCCGGACGGCCAGACATGCGGCGTGACCGTGGGACAATGTTCAGATGGGTCTTCGTCCTGCCCGGCGAACCAAGGAGGCGGATGCTGCATCCCTGGGTTCGTGTGCGCTGACGTCGGGTGTAAGTCTTCCTATTACATACTTGATTCTTAAGCCTACAGAAGAAGAAGAAAATAGAAATAGAAGTAGACAAATAACGCTAACAAGACACGATTACCCAGGCGTCCACAGCACCGTCTCCGTCATCACCCAAACAACCATAGCATCCACCACCGTAACCGCGACCCCCTCCGCCTCAACGCAAGTCATAACCGTGATCGTAACCGTAACGCCCTCCGACGGCGGCGCCCCCGTCCTTAGTACCACGACGGAGACCACCACCGCGAGCGCAACTCCCAGTTCCACCACGGCAACAGGCGGCATCCCGCCCTACCGACCCACAAGCGGCTCCTCCTCCTCCTCCTCCTCATCCGCAACCACCTCCCCCTCTCCCTCTCCCTCCTCATCGACATCCTACTGCCCAACCGGGTTCTACGCGTGCGTCGCCCGCGAAGGCGGCGGATGCTGCCGCACCGGGCGCGACTGCAGCACAACGTCGTGTCCGGCGCCGCCTCCCATGACGACGATAATATCCAGCGGAGTCACCATCGCGGTCCCGGCATCCGACGCGCAAGCAGCCGAGGGCGCGCAGCCCACCGCGACATGTGCTTCGGGATGGTTTCTATGCGGCGAAGATGCCGGGCCGGTCGCGGGATGCTGTCCCACGGGGTATAACTGCGGCGCGGCAAGCTGCACGATATCGACGAGCACGGCGACGGCAACGGTGCAGAAGGAGTTGCCGAACGCGGCGTTGAGCAGCAGGAAGAGTAGAGGTGGGATTGTGGATGTGCTAGTGTTAGCTTGGGTGGTAGGTGTGTCTGCTTTGGTTTTGATATAGGGCGGATAGCCGGCCGAAGCACCTAAACCTACCTACCTACCCAACCTAGGTGTTTAGATTTGAGTACGAAGCTTTAGTATGAGATATGACAGATGAAAGAGAAGAGATGAATGTACCTAACTTAAACAAAAAGGGGGCTCTGCATATAGATCGACGACGAGCGCAGCGTTGCGAAGCCATTATTTTGCATCTTGCATGGGACGGAGTTGGTAGCATGTTTTACTATTAGACAAGAACTATTTATTGCTTCGATTTGATTTCTTGCATCGGATTTGCGGTCTATTACGTTGGTGTAATTCAAAAGAATAGTTGATACAGAATAGAAATGTTATTGGTAACTTTTTATTCTTTAAGAATAAATACCTGAAAGGACAGTAAAACCATGATGCCTAGTAGTGATAAGTAGTATTGTGGTGGATATCCAGATGGGAGTGCGTACTTTAGAACTAGTAGCTAATCGTTGCGTTCTCGAAATACCAACTATTTAGACATAGGAGCTATATCGGAACATTTCGCTAATTATTCCCATTCCCAGAAAAATGTCGTCTCGCATGCTAGAATACTCAAATTTACAAATATCAACGATTTTCATTGCGTTAAACTATTAGATACTTTGTCCAATTAAACCAACCAAAGCAGCTCAACTCTATGTAACTAATGGCTAACTATGTCTCCAGTTTCTCAAGTATGCACACCACCACTTAGCCAGCTTCGTCTTCTAAACTATGGCTTGTGAGTATCTGCGGGGAATCGGTGTTGCCCAAGTGCAACGTCTAGTTCAATTACAAGCTTATACAGAGCATGGTTGCCGCAACGCCTTTCCGATGCTGGAATTACCGGGCCGGGTCGGGCCCAATGAATCGTCCATCCACCCATAATTTTGTTCCCGGTATTCCAAAACAGATTAAATCGGTTAAAAGCATAGTAAGATCAGTAATGACCAAAAGCAGCCAAGCCGTCCAGCCTCCCGAGGGCCGGCCTGGTTGACTCGGCGAGCGAGAACATATAACGAATCGAATTGTCTAAAAAGGCAAATGATAAACAGATAGATAGAAGATCTTCCAGCTATCCAGCGATGGGCCTATGCGGCATGTAGATGTTATGCACACATCCGAACTTATTCGGTCCGGACCCGTTGCGCATGTCTTCTAAAACAACAGGACGGCCGCAGCTAGAGCAACAAGAGCTAACATGCTGTTAGAGCCGGCTCCGAATGTGGCGCCGGCGCCTGCTTCCGGCACGACAGTTGAGCTTGAAGTCTCAGACGAGTCGCCGATGTCAAAAGTGGAAGTAGGGCCGGATAGAGTAGCAGTAGCCTCTCCCTCTCCGCTATCGGTAACGCTAGTTGCGAAAATATCATTAGCACCCGATCCTGAGCTGAAGGATGCAGAAGCAACATCAGTTCCAGCCGTTCCAGCTGTTCCGGCCGATCCTGTTCCAGCCACGGCGGTAGTACCCGCTTCCTGAGCAGCGGTGGTACTGGCGATATCGGTTTCGGCCACGGCAGAGGATCCCGCCTCGGTTGTGCTCTGGGGAACAATGATAGTGGTAGGAGATGTAGCGTCGCCGGCACTGGTAGCAACAACGACATCGCTGCCGGTGGTTTCTACAACTGCATCGCTAGTAGCGCTAGCGTCAGCGTCAGCGCTGTCAGTAGCACTGCTGGCAGCACTGTTGGCAACGTCTGTGCCCGAGCTGGTAGCAGCGTCGCTTGCGCCACTGCTAGCGGTAGCGTCTGTGCCATCGCTAGTCGCGCGGGCGGCGGTCGTACTAGTTGCGGTTACGGCCGCCGTAGCTGTGGTTGCAGCCGTAGCATTCTGAGTATCAGTCTGAGTATCAGTCTGAGTATCCGTCTGAGTATCCGTCTGAGTATTCGTCTGAGCTACTACGGCAGTAGCCGCGAAGAGCGTAAGGACTGTGTAGACCTTCATTTTGGTGGATGTTAAGCTGTTGGTAGTGAATTGGGTTATACACTTTAGAAATGGGGTCCGAGGATGTTGGCTATTAATGTAGAAAGAAGACTTAGAACAGTTAGACGACTCTATATACCTTAGGGGTCGCAAGTGATTGTCTAAAATAGAAGTACTCGTGTATGTATGTAATGAGCGAGTGGTTAGGACCGGATAAAGAGATGCTTGATCGAGTCACTTATATAACTGCTTTGGCCACGAGAGACTGGAAGATGGAAGAGAAAAGGTACAGCCAAGCTCTATTAACAAACTTTACCTTGAATTCCGCTTACGCATGCATACAGGCAACTAAGACTCTGTAGACATGCGCCTGGCATTTTGCGGGCCATCTCGGGGTATTCCAACGACACGCGTATCGAGGGTTGACGTTTCTACAAAAGTTGCTCAGTTTAGGTTGAAGTATACGTCTCACAATGGCTGGATGTCACACTACCGCCACGCCCACTAGCTATCGATAGCCAAGGGAAAAGTGGGCGATGGCGGCTGATGGAAGAACGCCACATCTGGCTAATCACTTGCCATCCATGGAATTAAGGAATAATTCGGTTGTGGCTGATATAATCTGAGATTTCTAGCCACTCACCACTCAATTACGACTTCAAGATTACCTCTTGAGAATTCTCAATCTCAACTACAACTTCTAAATCGATTCGCCTACATACACGAAGAGGTTATCGGGTTTTCCAGTCACCTGGTGGTTGGTAGCTCTGAGGTTATCTGTCTCTATGTAGGAGGTATGCTAGGTATGTTGGTATGCACCACGGGTGTGTAGTGCATCATTTGGTATGCTCCCTTTCCACTTGGTGGTGTCCTGCGGCCTGCCCACTCCCAAAATGTATTTGAGCATCATTATTGCATACCTAATGGCCATAAAAGCATAATACTACGTGCGAAGCGAAGTCGTCGCCCTGCTTCTAAAAAGCTTATGTGCTAAAATGAAACGGTTGAACTCGTCAGTGAAGTCATGATTGCTAGATCCCGTTTAAGCTGTTGGTAAAATCAAGTCTCTATCGGAGCTTCCGGGCATCCCCAGCTATCAGCCGCCTCACATCAATTGACGTCACTGGAGTCTAAATTTACCAACTCGCCCAGCTCCGCCACCAATACTTCATACTTTCATATTAGAAGATGTATATTTCTATTCGTACCATATTCCCTTTATGTCTTATTAACATAGCCCATAATGGCCCTTAGTATGTCACATCCGCCATCGGTTGTTTAATGAACAATGTCATCTTTTAGAAACAAGAAGTACTTGGATTCTCCAAGCCGGAAGTCCTCTTAGAGCCCCTTGCTACCGATGCCGAAGACGTAGCTCGTAGCTCGTAGCTTACTACAAACGGAGGTCCTCCTTTAGCGGCCGCCACCACCCGAATTACACCAAGGTGTTTAATACCGTTATCCAAGAATGCGGCATAATAACATCGGCCATTCAGATCTAGCCAAGTCAACTTCATTAACTAAAATAATTTTAAACTCCGTATTCCTCGCGTTAGTCATATCAGGCATCTTATTCCCATTGATCCCAGTGTATTCAGCCCAGCCGACTCTTAAGAATACAGGCGCTGGGGCGGCTAACTGTGAGCGCCGAAGAATAGGATAGACCGTCTCCATCCTAGTCTTACCTAGGTAGATCTGGACTCTAATATCAGAATCCTCGTCTCTCCCTAAAATAAGGCACGACACGCGAGGCAACAAGTACAACTTCTCTATTTCCGGCAGCTTATGCTTTCGCCCAGCGCGAATCTCGGGGTCGGGAAATCGGACCATTCCATTGTCCTTAACACGATTGAACACTTTATTCCATAAGACTTCTGGCCCAGGTAATCTAGTTCTAGGGGCGTCCTTTAGGTGCATCTTCCCGTCGGTTTCGCCCCGGCCATTTCTAATGCTTGTCCTTATAGGACAAGATACCTGCTTGCAACGCTTCCATACTCATTTGGACCAACTATTTCTGTCTGGACGTCGAGGAGCTGGCGTAGAAATCTATCATACCCAAACGGTGCGAACTCAACAGGACTTAGAACACTGGCTCACAACCACGGGGGCGCTAGGTACTTGTCTAGCCCGGCCCGGTTTTACTTTCCCTACTATTAGTCCAATGAACCCAATTGCGACCGCCGTCTTCGCCTTGAATAATGCGAGCTCGATTCTGTCCAACACCACGATATATCACTCAATAGTGAGATAATCGTCGCTATTGGTATACTCAAGCCCCTATTAATAGTGAATAATACTCATCGAATAAATATTTCAACCAGAAGTGTGGCACTTCAAGTAGCCTTTCCGTACGACAACAAGTACCAGAACAGAGCCAGTGTATCTACTAACAAAAAATGAGGTGAAGAAAAAAAGAAAGAAAAAAGTAATGCATCAGCCGCGAATCGAACGCGGGGCCCATCGATGGCAACGATGGATTTTACCACTAAACCACTGATGCCGGAAGCTCAAAGTGAGGCCTTGCTAACACGTTTAATATCCGATACAATCATTAAAAGTTACTTATAAATGCTACACGAACAAATCATCCCCCGTGGCAAGCATCAATAAGTTACAATGTTGACAATATCTATCGACAATGTTTAATTCTAACCTAGGCCGCACAAACAAGAAGCACACCGTCTAAGTAGAGAATAATTTTTGAGAGAGGCTGGGAGCAATTAGAGACAGTGAGTAAAGTCGTCAAAAATGCTCTTAGAAGTCCGATAAAACCACAAGATTGCGATAGGCCAATTGCAATAGACCGGTCTCCAGAATGGCCCACTTTGAATCAAAATAAAAGAAATACGTATCTTTATGAATGACAAGGTCATACTATGTACAAGCATCGAGTGCTACAGCCATACAGACGGCAAGCTGGCGTTAAAGCTATTATTGTAAGTGTCCCAAGCTAAACTCGGACTATTGTGCTAATAAGTATGCATCTAAAGGATTCTACAGTGGGAGAAGCAAATGCATTCTTTATGGATCGATATCACAGTAAAGACAATAGATGGGGTTTCAATCAACATCAGTATGAATTTCTTAACATCTCTTTTAGGCATGGCGACAGTTATGAACTCCTAGCTTCCTATATACAACGCCTCTCTATCTCTCCCCAGAACTGTGAGGAAGTTGAAATCCATACAGAGGAAGATACAGCATTATTCTCACTTTGTTAACCTCTGGGATATGGAAAAGTATATATATTCAAGTGATCTCAGCATGGAGGTAATGCATTCTGTCTCAATCAGCTCATCAAGCAACTCGAACAAAGCCTTCTACTCTCAGCGTTCTTAGAACACCATCACCAAGAGATATTAGCACAAGCCGACTTGCTTACCATCATAACAAGCGTTTCCAATATATCAAGCAATACGCCAATATCCCAAAGCATAATATTAATAAGGTTCTTCGAACAATACAAAGGTGAGAATGACTGACTGGCTTCTATAAATAATGATCATGTTACTAATATCAACTTTCAGAAAATAGATCAATATGTGCGAAGTTCAGGTTTACGTCTGCTTGGCGCACAAGCTTGTGCACGGGGCTCGGTTTCTACGCTGCCAACCCTTGATTAATCGGGGACTGGATGGGGACACCGGCATTATCTGGGTGAAGACCCTCCACTTAGAGCAAGAAGAGGGATGCCCTGGGCTCCGGTTCTCACAACAAGCCGTCTTCATCCAACAATGCCCAACTATCCCATCAAGTAGACGAGGAGGTCAAAACTAGGAGGTGGCGTTGGCACCGCCCTTTGGATACCTACCAGCATCGAGTCAGCGGCCAAGAATTATTACTTGGGTATAAAGACCTGGATATACCTAAAAGTGTGCAGGAGGAGGTTCGGACAATCGTGGGCGTTAGATACCCTTATGATCTATTAGATCAAGCAAATTTGGTGTTTTATATACAATGCAGCGATTTAATCACTACCGTCATTTTAATACATAATCCCAACTGTTACGGATGAATACTTGGTCCCGGGTGATACTGTTGGGCTCCTTGCAAGTTCGGAATACAGCCAACATCTTGTTATATTTGTTATATGGATAACGAAGAGAGTTGGATTCAGCTATATTCCCCTTTAGTAAATAGAGTAAGAAGGTATTTATCTTGTCGGGTGATAGATACACTAGCCTTTCCCTGATCCTACAGGTGTTACATGCGTCATGGATGCGTATTAGGCTTGCGAAAGAATGAAGACCCGGATGTACATAGTTCTCCTGCCTTATTTACGTAAATGATTCCATCGTTATCTTGATACTCAAGTAAAGATATCGCGGAAGCGCGAAGTGCTATCTAATGCGAGCAGAATACCATTTCCTTTTCTCGACTCCTTTTAATTTGCTTCGGTAGCTGAAAGTAGAATATAAGAAGAAAAAATCGGGGTTTATTTTTCGTTGCAAAAGATCACCAGTTGGTAGGTAAAAAGTTGATAAAAAAGACAAAATAGTCAAACATTGTCTCCCCCTCCATAGATTCGAATGTAAATGGTTCAATTTATATGTGCCCTAAATCCGTGTTCAAACCGCCGTACTAAATGTTTTTAAATGGTGCCGTAGATTGATAGAGGGTGCGCTTTTACAGTCTAAATACTCCCCACGAACGCGCATTTTAAAAGAGAATTGCCTAAACGCGACGCGTACTCTAGGCACATGTTCTTAGATAGCACATGACACTCGACTTGACATTAGCTCTACGAGATACAAGTTGTGTTAGATAGGTACTTCACTACCCACGTCCTCCCCCCTTAAACGACCACACTACTACTCGGGCTCAAAAGCGATGTCCTAAACATCTCAGAAATAACCCATCCCCGAATTAGCGTCTGCCGGAACGCGTAAGTACCTAAGCTCATAGCTCTTCCTCAGAACCGGCAGAGACCATGTTACTCAACGGCCCCTTTTTTAACATTATGCTCATTATTTCGTATAAGGCGTCAGCCGCCGCCATCGTGGTGTGCTCAGCATTCGTGTCGTAAGCAGGCTAGATAGATAGACAAGTTTTTAGTAAATGACTTCCACAACCCAGTTTATCAGTAACCATAGAACTTACAGCAACCTCCACGATATCCGCCCCAATCAGATTAACATGCTCCAAGCCCCTCAAAATCGTGCGCAGCTCCCTAGTGCTCCAACCACCCGTCTCCGGGGTCCCCGTAGCCGGCGCGAACGCCGGGTCCAAGGTATCGATATCGAGGGACAAGTAGACGGGGTTGGTCGTGCCGACGCGCTCGACGATCTTCTTGATGATGCCCTCGGCGCCGATTTGGTCGATCTCGCGGGCCTCGACGATCTCGAAGCCGCAGTACCCGTCGTTCTCGTAGTCGCTGGGCCCGCTGAGCGTGGTGCGGATGCCCGCGTGGATGTTGGTGTCGTTGGCGAGTAGGCCCTCGCGTGCCGCGTGGTAGAAGTATGTTCCGTGGTTGATGCTTGCGACTTCGGAAGGGGAGCCGCCGAAGACTTTGGGACGCCCTGTTTAGGAGCACGGGGAGACATGAGTTAGATGGTAATTGGGCGCCGGTGTGGGGATTCGGGGGGAGAGGTGGCAGCGACTTACAGGTGTCTAGGTGGCTATCGAAGTGGATGACTGTTACGGGACCGTATGCCCGGTTGATTGAGCGGAGTAAAGGGAGGGTGATGGTGTGGTCACCACCGAGAGTGATAACTCGTGGTAAAGTTTTCCCCTTTTTAGACGGCCCAGGCTTGTCTGCAGCCGTCTTTGGGGCTCGGGATAAGATATTGTAGTGGCCCTCTTCGATTTGTTTGAGAGCCCACGTGTTATCGTAACTACAACTTGATTAGTATCATATGTAACTAAGAATCTCTCTAAGGGGTAGGGAGTTTGAACCGTACGATGTCACTGGGATATCTCCACAGTCAAGGACCTTCGCCCACCCATTAAAGGGGTTTGTGTCTAAGGGGACATTATATCCTCCGCTTATTCTGGGTTAGCAGGCCGTATGAGCATAGTTATGTCTATATCAATGGAGTTTTACTAGAGGTTGAGACGTCGAGATCCCTGACGAATTCCCGAGGGACCGAACCGAGCACCGGGCCGGTACGACGTGCCGGTATCGAAGGGTGCCCCTTTGACTCATTAGCTTGACTACTTAGCTACTAGGGTTAGGAAGTTGACAGACCTATGAATGCGAGATCATAATTGATCTCATCGTGGCCTAAGCAGGGTTGGTATGGTAGGCGCCCAAACGTAGAGATCCCAGAGAACACCGAGTCAGCCTATGGTAGATACTTAGCAACCTGGAAAGTTATTTCTTCGTGTCAATATCTGACCTGTGTTCCACCATCCCCAGGCAGAACATTGTACCATAAGGACTGATGTGGCCCAGAGAGAGTTTTCTGGTCGCCGTGAGTGCCATGAGCGGCAGCAAAAGCTAGGGAATTAAGAACAAAGAGAGCCCCCAACATTCTGAAAAGCACTCGAAGCACAATGGATAGACGGAGAAATTCTGATTCTATTCCATCGACATTATGGTTATGGTAGAGTAGTATGACTATATACACCTATTTATCTTACCGTGAGGGCGATCTTCTGTCATTCGGATTGGTAAAAGACTGCTATCAATTCTGCTATCAATTCTACGATTAATTTTGTAATGACAACAGAGCTTTGACTAGTGTAATGGGCTTATCACTAACAACTCTTAACCACTGAGAGTAGGATATTGTCCGGAAGAGACCCATCTCGACTGGACGTCGATGCATAGAAGAGTTGTCATCGAACTCTTCCTTTTTAGGTAAGTATCCAGTCGGAATTGTCCGCAATGCGCTGATGACATCGCACTTGAATGCGGGGGACCACTAGATAAAGCTTTAATGGCCAAGATCTCAGTAATGTGAGTATACTAGCCAAGTACGAACTTGCGCCAACGTGTCCAGTATTATCTCCCCTGTTATGGTCTGGATATCCTAGCCGGCGTGCTGGACGAAACGCACATATAAACAACGAGGCAGACAAACGCGATTTATTAAGCGGGAGTGAGACGGGCGATCGAGTAGCCAGCCGTTTTTATATACCTAGGTTCCCGATCGTGAAATTCGGTTGTTCGGTAGTCTCTTTTCCGGATAGAAGACCAAAAATGGCAATTCCACGTGGTAGACTAGACGGATTTGGCGAAGAGATAGGCAAGTTTTTATTAACTGCCGGGTCGGCTACTTCCCCTCCAAGGCCGACGTAATAAGTATGAGTAGTATTAAGATAAGAACATACTTTCTGTAAGTCTTTAGTAAAATATATCTGCATGATGATAAGCAAGGAGGCGAAGGGTTTGTTTCAAATCCAACTTGCATGTTTTCTTTTTGAATCGTATGGCTTCAGCTCGATTCGTGTTTCTTAATGAACTGTCTCGACCGTGAGAAAGGGGGTTTGCCCCCCACACTGCTACATGCTCCTTTGCACAACAGTGAGGTATTTGCTGAATAGGATTTGCCAATTTACATCTGTGGCCT